GGTTTAGTTTACGAGATATCGTTATTTCTCTAGGAAATAAAATCGGTGAGATGCGAGCAACAGTGGAGGAAACAGTGGGGGAAGACAATGCGAGGGGAAACGCGGACGAGCGACAAAACAGCGTGGTAACATCGCGATTTATCCTCGCACACGGTTGATTTATAACGATGCGTACAGTCACTATGCCACCATGTCTCGGGCCCTCTCATTTGTACAACGTACTTTCTCTCATTTGCGCTCGCGGAATTCACCGAAAAGAAGAGGAAAAAGAGGGGAGGGAAGAAAAGAAAGAAAAAAAAAAAAAAAAAAAGAAACGAAGAGAAAGAGAGGAACGGGCAAGTCGTGAGTGGCGCATGAATTATTCAACCGGCAGCTCTCATTTGCCGCGCCGTTGATAATGATAATCGCGAATCCCTCCCCTTCCCTGTAATGATAACTGTTCGTCGATCTCGTTCGTTGGACGGATCGCAATAATAGCGGCATTAATCACAGATCGACAGATCAAACATCGTCACATTTCACGATGATCCGAGTGATCGTCATCCGTCATGATCCGGTCATCGTCTTTTCACCGATGAACTCCTCCTAATTTTCCGTGTAACAGGAATCCCAGGAGGAAACGTTTGGACGTCGATCCTCGTCGAACCTCTTCCACATGTATCGATACCTGAAACAGACAATCGCGTCAAATCTGACGATTTTTCGAAGATTTTCACTTTCGAACGATCGTAATCCGAAAACTAAAAAAAAAAAAAAGAAATACGGGAACGAATACCGCTCGAAATCGAAAGAGTCCCGACTTCTTCGTCGCGTCAACGTGTGGAAGAAAATGCGGAGAAGAAGATACGGTTACGAATCGAAGCGGAAGAAAGGGGGAGGGGGTCCAGGTAGAGATGGGAGGAGGTGATCCGTACCGCAGCCACGTTGCACGAAGAAGCACGTCGCTGTAGGTAAAACGTACCTACGGCATCCTGCCCCCCTCCCCCTCCCTTCTTCCTTTTTCCTGCCCCTCCCGTGGATCTGACCCACCGACGGTGGCAGNAGCGGCGTGCATAACAGGGTGGACGTTTAACATATGACCGGCTACCAGTGTTATTAATGCGCCGGTAGCGTCGTGCTCGGTTTCTTCCGAGCCCACGTACGGTGCCTACGATCCCGTGGCCGGGTTGGGGCCACCCGCGGGCCCTCGATCGCGGTCCACGGGTCGGCCCAAGGACCCGAGTGGGGTAGCCGAGGAAACGGCGCGCACCGTAGACGTAACACGACACTCGGGTACCGCACCGCGACCACGTCGTCCTCGTCCACTCATCCCTCGACGAGTTATGTCTTCCTGCTGGCGGCGGGTCTAATTAATATGTGTTTAGACAATGTATATGAATATATATATATATGTGCGCGTCGGCTAGTTAAACATTCTAAAAAGAAAAGGGGGAGGGGAGAGGAGAGGATCTCTCTTCTTCTTTCAAATTCGATAATTCTTCTTTCGATGCGATAGAATCGGCGTCTGGTAAAAGAACCTCGATGGAGGAGAGAATGACGGACGTCTCGATCGCGAAAGAAGAGGAAGAGAGAAGCGGTTTGATGCGCGGATTATTTATTTGGAAGAGGAGAGGGGTTACGTATTCCGCGACGTGGAAGCGTGGAGGAACGCGATCGTGCGAGGCTATAGGCAAATATCTCTCGCTCAGCCGGGACATTAGGAGTTCTCCCGCGTCCGGAGGATTATAAATCCTTAATACAGATCGGCACGCGATGCCCGGCTCGTTAGGGTGATGCATGGCCGACTCTGGTGTCCCGGGGTGTACGGTAGCCGATACCAACACACCCGTGCCTCGACATCCGAGAGGCTGGTTCCTGCGGGAACGGTTACACCCTCACACACCGCCAACCACCAGGTAATAATGAGAGATCAGAGATACGGGCCGATATTAATTGTGCGCATCGAGTGTGGCGGTGCTGGCTGCTGCTTCTCCGCTTCTCTCCACTCCGGACCCGGAGAGGAGAGAACCGACCGCTACCGGCTTACACCGATCCTTCGATGCGATACGTGGCGATATACGATACAGGACCCGATCCTGCCTGCTTCGTTCGTTCGCGAAAAGCCCGCTCCTCTCCAACCTCCTCCTCCTCCTCCTCGTGTGGACACACGAATTTTATCCCCAATTTATCTCCTTATCCTTTTTTCGTGATTTTCTTTCGCGGAAGGATCTCTCCCTCGTGGCCAGCTCTCGGTTTCGACGGCGAGAGATAAATGAAATTACGAATTTGAACGAGAGGGGGGATCNTATCGTCAATCACGAGATAGTTCCGTCTTTGTCGATCGATGAATGGATTACCGCGAATGGATTCCATCCCGCGGGTGGAACGTGGTCGTCGTCTTTCGTTTATAATATACTCCTCCGTTTCCTTCGTAAAATCGTATCTGGAATCCGTTCCGAGAAAATATCTATCGGCGGTAGCGGGGACCTGCTGCCTCGAAGATACAGATCTCGAAACAAATTACGAACGATGCTCGCCGCTGTCCTGCCTGTTTGCTCGTCCTTCGCAGCTGGAATAATCCGAATAATCGCCGCCCGTTAGCGGCCCGAATGAGATCGCGTCTTTTTTAAATCGACGCGCGTATCGTTGTCCCCCTTCCCTCTCCCTTAAGGAGAAGGCTGGATTTATATGCACGGATAGCGTAATAAGTTCCCTCGGAATTAAAGTTCCACGCCTCGATACCAGTTTGCTTCGATAACGATCGAGGGAACGGTCGCTACAGATTTCCTTCCTTCCTTCCTTCCTTCTTTTTATCCCCCATCACCGCGTTGATACATTTATCGAGGCAAATTGAACTTCGAAGTCGAACGATCGAGGAACGCGCTTTCTACGAATCGATCGTTCAAACGACTTTGTTCCTCGATCACTCTGCAATCTTTCAAATTCGCGATTGCGATCTTGACACGCTGGATCTTCGATTTTTCGAGAATTCCTCTTCCAGAATTCTTCGAGTAATTCGTGAAATTAAATAATTTTTCTCACGATTTTAATTGGAGGTGTGAAACGATCATTTCACATCGCATCGAGGAGGAGAATTTCGGACGCGTTTGTAGCGAAAACGAATCCCTCTCGTTCGAAACCCTCTATTTTCCCAAGCCAAAACCGAGACGATTCTCTAATCCCACGTGGCGAAAAAGGAACGCGAGCTACGCGGGAACAAGAAAACGGGTATAGGGTATTCCGTACAAAGTGATTGCAGGTGTATGTGCGCGCAGCATCCTCGGACGGTCCGTTGCTCGTCTCGATCCGGATTACGGTAACACCTGGCCATCCGCAATTTTATCATCCTTCGTCCCGGAAGGATTCCAATTTTCTTCTCCCGTTACGCCCACCCTTCACCCTCTTCTATCCGCCTCGCCGTCCACCGCTTCTTCCACTCTATCTCTCTCTCTTTTTTCTTCTTTTTTCTTCTTCTTTTTCTTTTTCTTTTTTTTTTCTCTTTCTTTTTTCTTTCTCTTCCAACGTCTCTCCCGGAGAGACTCAATCTGTGTCTCATCGTGGATTATTGGGATTTCCTCCGGTGGAGGAAGGAAGGGAGGAGGAAGTTGGCTGGCTGCTTGCCTCGACTCCCGTGTCTGCGCCAAGGGAATCGGTTAGAGAAGAGAGAAAAAGAGAGAGAAAAAAGGAGAAAGAGACTGGTTGACCAGCGCGAGACTTTAATTCTTTTCCTCCGTGAAACGTTCGACGGGGACGCTCNGTTCGCCGCTCCCCGTCGAAATAAGGAGCTCCGCTGATCGGTGATTTCGTCGAATTGTCCCGGCTGACAATTTACTCTCCCGCTCCCCGATAAGTGGCACCGGGATCCTGGATTTTTAAGTCTTCCTCCCTCCGCCCCTCTCCTTCGTCGGCCGACACGGAAGCACGAATTGCAGGATTTTTAATT